TGTGCATGCTGCAGCCACTGTCAACCTTGTTTACCCCTACGCCGCACTTCGGGGAGCAAACGTGGGTGGAACCAGAGAGATTCTTCGTCTGGCCGCCAAGGGTGGCGCGACCGTGCAGTATATCTCTACCAATGGTGTCTTGCCATCATCTGGTGAGAACGGCTGGCCTGAAACTACCATGCTAGACATTGAAGATGTCCCCAAAAAGCTACTCGACGGCTATGGTCAGACAAAGTGGGTTGCAGAGCAGCTCGTTCTCAAGGCCGGTGAGCGTGGATTGCCGGTCAAGATTCACCGGTGTGGTACCATTAGTGGTCACAGTATCACAGGCTCCGCCAATGCCTGGGATTTGCTCACTGCATTGATCGTGGAATCTATCCAGCTCGGATATGCCCCCGCCGTGGAAGGATGGCGTGCCGAGATGACCCCTGTAAACTTTGTCAGTAAATCCATTGTCCATCTTGCGACTCAGACTCAGAAAGACCAAACGATGTTCCATCTCGGAGATCCTACGCCAGTCGATACTCGCTCAGTCTTTGAGGACCTCAAAGAGCTTGGTTATGAGACACAACCTCTCCCATGGGATGAGTGGGTGGCTCTGTGGTTCGAGAAGAGAGGCTCAGCCAAGGGTGGCGATGGTTCGTTTACCGTCGACATTCTTCGTAGTGGCATGCCGACCGTCGAGTTCCTCCGAGACATTGTGGTCCTTGATAACGCTTTGACCAGACCTTTCCGGGCCGTTATCGAGCGCCCCAAGGTGGACAGCCTGTTGCTGGAGACCTACACTCGGCACTGGTTTGCTCGAGGATGGCTACCCCGCCCCCCATCTCGTCGGAATGCCCTCAACCGACCTACCGAGGTTGCAGTGAAGGGACCACTCAGCGGCCAAGTTGCTGTGGTGACTGGTGCTTCTTCTGGCATTGGTGCGGCGGTAGCAGCCGCCCTAGCCAAGCAGGGCTGTGCTGTAGCACTTGGTGCTCGACGCCTAGATGCTCTTGAGAGCACCAAGCGCAAGGTCGAAGCTCACGGCGTGAAGTGTATCCTCCGGTCGACCGACGTCACGAGCAAGACTCAGGTGGAAGCTCTTGTCCAAGCAGCAAGTGAGGAGCTCGGTCCAGTCGACATCCTGGTTGCATGCGCTGGTGTCATGTACTTCACCATGATGGCAAACACGCAGATGGACGAATGGGAGCGCACGGTCGACGTCAACTGCAAGGGTCTCTTGCACGCTCTCTCTTCAACAGTTCCTGGCATGCTCTCGCGCGGCCGCGGCCATGTCGTCGCCATCTCCTCCGACGCCGGACGTAAGGTCTTCCCTGGTCTGGGTGTGTACTCGGCCAGTAAGTTCTTCGTTGAGGCCACCCTCCAAGCTCTCCGCCTCGAGACTGCAGGCGCTGGGTTGCGCGTGACGAGCATCCAGCCCGGCAACACTTCCACGGACTTGCTGGGCATGTCGACGGATGCTGAAGCCGTCAAGAAATTCGGAGAGCCATCCGGAGCGAAGATCCTTGATCCTTCAGATGTTGCCAACTCCATTGTTTACGCCCTGACTCAACCTGAGCATGTCTCTGTGAATGAGATCCTTGTTGAGCCTCGCGATGAGCCGATTTAAGCGATATCGGCCGTTTGCCACTTGCTCTATTCCGACGTTGGGATGTTTTTATGATTTGCTGTTAAGTATTTGTCGCTCGCTAGTTGTGATTTAGGGGTTTCGATTTGATTCACACAAAAATAGATAAAATAGGCGGCCACATAGAGGTAGAAGGGATAAATATGTATATTGTATAGAGTATTGTTGATTTCCAGACGCGCTTTGCCCATGCGACTCAAAACCATATGCTCTCATTCCACAAGCTGGTCCACAAGAAACTGCAACAGCCGGGGCACATCGTCAACTTCCGCATCCAAAGCATACAAGCATCTGCCCTTTCTAACTAAAAGGGCAGATGCTTGTATGAGGAAGGCTAACTTCGCATATACACCGGATTTTAGGCCGAGCGAGATGGCTTTCCCTGTCCGTTTTAGTGCTCACCCTTTGCCGCTTTTTGATCACTGAGTAAAACTGAGCACGCCGCTGAGTATTACATAATCTTTAGAACTCGCTCACTGAACGTCACCCGCTAAACAAAGCGGGAGAGCAGCTAAGTCAGCAGTTCACCTCAATAGAACGCACCACGCTAGCCCCGTCCAGTGCAAGTCTTTCAACAACGCTCTTGACCATTGTCCCCTCAACAAGGGCTGGCGTCATCAATGTGGTGGTCGATCCCAGTTGTTTCGCCTCCACCTAGGAGGCAAATTCACAGTGGGGCCACATTTATTGGCATTACTATTCTGCGGTTATGCCACTATTCAGCCTGTCGAGTCTCGCCTCCACGGTACCGTCTCTACATAGTTGTGGAAAATATCCAACCTCGATTTTTGGTTCTTCAATATCTAGAAATATATCAGAAAATCCCAGTTGAATGGTTTGTAAATCCAGCCTAATGTCTTATTCTGATTTTTTCCGCTTGATTTTTACACTATCGCTCTTGCTGCCTGACGCTTGCTCCTAGGAATAAGACTTCAGCTCTAGCGGCCTGGACATCCACAAAATCATTTTAGACCTATCGGTTATGTCTACTAGATGATGTACCCGCCCATGTCCATTTTTGTGGGCCCCTCATTTGCCTAAAATAGTCTACCTAGCACTAATACTAAGTAAATGAAGCCTGATAGGTCTTCCTAGGAGCTCCTAGACCTCTCGTGACACCACAAAGTGATTGGTGAGACGAAAATAGATCCTAGGAGCTCAAGCGCTGGTACCCGTCCGCGAGAACTGTAGCTGCTAATGCTGGGAGATCAATATATAAAGAATACTATTCCCTCCTCCTAGAACGAAAATATTCAAGGTTCAAGCATTTCTCCTAATTTTAGCAACCGTCAGTATTCCAGGTCTGTCTTTTTTTAACCCCTCAGCCAGAGTAGAAGCCTAATATGATACTATTATGCAGATTGTCTGATTGGTGTTTAGGGTGTTCATGGCATTTAGGTGAATCGGTCAAAGGGGCTGAAGAGTAGGGCGGCAAGAGGGAGTTTCCGAACGAAACGAAAAAAGCATACAACAGCATGTCTAAGGTGGTGGTCACCTAGCGCCCACGGTTCGGGCCGTGCCGAACCCAACCACTCAATCCACACTCGGACCTTCGGGGCTGATGTGAACTCCTCTCGAGCCAAAGTGTTGGAGGGATCGGCGTCACCTGTCTAATCAGTCCTCGCCGGGGAATTCATGGCCAGGTAGGCAACTCGTGATTATGGGTATCTTCACTCGCGGACTGGCAATTTGTCATGAAGGGACCTTCCGTTCTTAAAGAATTTGGCAACCAAACGATTCACACGTGCTCGGCGGGGTGACAAACGAAGGCACGAGGCGCAGAAACGCTTATCCATTGAAACAACGTCTTCTCGCGGAAGCGCTGCCCAGCACGCAGCCCTCCGCGCTCTGCCGCTGCCGCTTCCACTGGTTATAACAATCGAGGCTTGGCCTCGTGGCCTAGTCCATATCTATATTTACGGGCCGCCGGAGTCCTTCATATCACGTACTTTTAACCAGTCTATTTCAACCATGTTTTCTATTCTTAATTTTCCACTTTGATGAATCAGAAACGAGTTGGGGGATGCATCTCGGGAGGGCGGATATAGAACATATCCCAGCCATTGGTATCACATTGAAACCACACGAATCCGGTAAACTCACTGTCCCCGAAAGGTATTTTCATCCAACCAACGTCCTCTAGAGTACATCCCTCGAGAGGCTCAAATTCCTCCGGAGGCCCACCTAGCGCCTCCAACTCTTCTTCATCTAACACCTCTGGTTCCCATTGGCCATCAACTAGACGAACAAACGCTGATTCACTGAGATCCAGTTCTGGCTCGTTTAGGACTGATTCCAAGGCCTCCTGGTCCACCATCAAGAAGTACCGATACCGACCTGACTGGGTATGGTGCTCTTGGCAAGGTGGAACATTTTGTTCTTGGTGCTTGGCAGTCGCAGCCCATTTGTTGAAATGCTCGCGGAGGGTAGCAGTTGTTGCGCCTTCGAAAGAGGAATCCTCCATGACCGTAGGGGCAAAGTTGTCTAGCAGATCTAGACCATTATAGCACTTGAGCGAACTTGTTGTCTGGTCGAATAATAGAGTCATGAATTTCTCCCAATCAGCGTCACTTTGGTATATGCAACGATATATGATGAAGCCCCAGGTGTTAAAGCCATCCGCTTGAAGAAGTTGCTCCAAATTGTCTGCTTGGTTGCTGGTTGTTTCCGCCGTAGGCTCCCGTTTCGAAGGTCGACTGATGCCCCAGAATTCCTCGTCGTCATCGGATGGGAGGCGCGAGCGCGGGGGTGAGGCAGAGCTCATTGTAGCGGAAAAGGGAATTGCTGTTCGGAAACGTTGTAAATTCGGTTTTCCGCAATATGAAGGGCCACCGGTGTTAGCGGGGAGGTGGGTGGCACTATGAAGAGCAAAAAGCCTGGGTTGGAGCGGTCGAAGGAGAAGAAACCTCCTTGCAAGCATTTTTGTCCGCGGGAGTTGGGAAATGAGGTATCGAACCGAGAGAGTGGTCGACCAGCTCTGCTTACTAAAAAAGCCCATGGGCCGCCCAAGAGCCCCAGGCCCATGGGCATGAGGGGTAGCGCCCGCCTATGGGCTTTGTCGCAGTCTACCCTGAGCCCCCTCATAAAGCGGCGGCACCCCGATCGGGAAATTCGTATCCGCGGCCTAAAATCCGGTACATACAACTACCTATATAGGTATGAGTTGAGTGGGAAGGCAGAGGACCGGTTGTCGTGATGGTCCCTAAAAACCCTCGTATACAATCTTCAAGTCCATCAATAATTCACAATATGTTATAAGTGATACCGAGGGTATCTACAGGAGAACCTCAAAGAGTGGTACAAGAGGATAGAAAACATAGAAGCATAAGAACAGATACAGGTCACTGGTCTAGGCTAGTGCTATATGACATCACTCAGTCAATGAGCGCACATAAGTAGTCGGCGCATCGAGAATCTCCCTACGAAGATCCGCTTCCCAGAGAGTCGTGCACGACTCCTGCACCTGGAGGGTCAAACACGAGAACAGAAACTCATTAACGCGGAACCACGACAAAGGGCTCAACCGCTGAGCAATCTTCAACATGCGGTGAGTGAACCACGGACGCGCGGAGGGCGAAGTAGCTGTGGGAAAGTACTGAGAGAAGTCTGGGATCTCCTCTACCGGGGCAGCGGAAGCAAAGCCGTCAGCACTAGTGGGCCAGCCATCAAAAGTGCCGTCGCTGCATTCAAGCACAGTTTGGAGCGTGGCATCGACGGAACCATTCATGCCGACTTCACTGTCGACCATAGATTTCTCGATTGTGTCGAGGAAGATTGCTGCGCGCGCTGGGGTGTTACGGTAATCCCACATCGCGGCATTGAGAGTCATCAACGTCGTTAAGCGGGCGACCATTTGTTTCCGGTTGTCTGAGTTGGTGAATCGGCCGCCTGGGGGTGCCACGAGGATTCGGTGGAGGATGGATGTTTCTTGGACTGCGGTGTGTCGGGTTATGTACGACGATTGGGGGTTATCGCGTTGGTATAGGGCAAGTTGTTCACAGCGTCGGAGGAAGTCGAAGAATTCTTCGCATTGGAATCTGATTTCATCTACTGGAATTGGTTCTGAATGAGGTGGGAGCATCGTTCGAGGTTCCGGGCTAGGCGAGACTTCTGAAAAGCCCGAGGAGGTGGAATATGGTGGAGATGGCATTGAGCGGGGGTTTGGGTTGGGCTGGGGTACTGAGGCTAAAGACTCAGATGCGACTGAGGCTTGTTGGTCGTATCCATAGAAGAAGCTGGGCCCGAGGGTCTCATATCCCGGCAAGATGTAGTTTTGCCAGTTGATCATCATGCCGATGCGGGTGTTTGCAAATGCAGCGGGACCACCACGCGCTCGTATCATCTCCCGTGCAGCTCGCATGTGCACCCGGCTTATTTCCTTGTGGCCTGGTCGGGGATCGCAGTCCTCTAAGGCTGCGGCACTCAGACAGGAAATTATTGCAACATCGGAGATATCGTGAGGGTTGTCGGAGCGGTGCTCCCGGAGCATGGAGACAGCACGATCTCTATGAAGAAGAGTATTTTGAGTTTCCTCTTCGTTATGAAGTATTAGCTGCATGAAGCAGAACAGTGTTTTGGAATGTGACGGTACCTTTCATTGTCTCAGGCACAAAAGCCGATGTATAACAGTTGTTGGCCATGGACGACCGGTAATAGGATCCATAGGAGGCTGGCATATGGCTCACATAGCAGTCAAATGTCCTGTGTCCATCTCGATTCAACTCTATAGGAAGAGTGTTGAATGTGTCGATTCGCGCATCGTTGATCATAGCATTTGGTGATGGCATAAACTGATATGGAATCGTGGATTGTGATGGCCATGAAAAATTATTAAAATATAGATCATGGCTCGGAGAACTCTGTGGACGTCCATCGGCAAATCCATCTAGTGGAAGAGTAACATCTTGAGATTGGGCCGAAGATGGTCGGAAAGGGGGAAACGAGGGCATATCATTGCGTTCAATCGACGCAGGATCTGACGAGATAGGATCCGAAACAAAAACATCGCAGTTGACCTCGACATTGAGGTCATCTTTGCGTGTATCTTGCTTTCTGGTTGATCTTCTCACTCGACATTGATTGTTATTGTTGTCATCGTCTGATTTCGCTTGCTTCTCTGATCTTCCTTTCGAAACCTGAGTCTTCCTGGGTCTCCCACGTTTCGCTCGTGGTGTCTCCTCTTCACTTTCGCTTTGGCGAGTGCCGCCTTTCTTCTGGCGCATATATTCTTGCATAACATGGCGTTTCACTTGGGTCAAGTTGGTTCGACTATTGTTCGAAGAGTCGATGAATTGCCACCGCACGTTGAATGCGTCCGGCGCATTGCTGGCGGCTTTATCAAGAGAGGATGACATTGTTCTGATTGTTTATGTAACGACAGGAGAAATAGATATGTGTAATCAGAACACAGGACCCGTTCGTCTCCTTGTGGGGTAAAGGAAGGACAGTATGGAGAAGTTTGATGGATATAATCGACCGGGCGAGTCCAACGTCCCTTAAAAGGAAAAGATCCAAGAATAGCACATCATACTAATAATGGGGCAATTCTTTTCAAATCTTGATCTAACGTAAAAAGGAGTGTAGTAACTGCACGATGAAGATAACTAGAGACAGGGCATTAGTCGGGATATCGGGATATGCTTCTCCACTCATCTTCTTTTGACGAACTAGACGAGACTGGGATAGCGGAGTTCCAGGACGCTGGTCAAGACATGTGGAGACCAACGGTGCAGCGAGTTAGGGGCCGAATAACCGCGTATGAGCGATGCACCTTTCGATAGCTTGGGGGCCAAACGCGCCGGCATCTACTAGAATTGAGACCCTGGGCTTCAGGGTCGATAAGATCATCCCCTGAACGGGCCGTGCCAAAACCAACTTCCCATGCTGTCCCCTCCATATTAGGCGAGGGTTGATCTATCTGCGTGCCCGGGTGACTACCCGGCATTCTACCCGGTCTGCAATCTGTCGTGAATTGCCCGTTAGGTTACAGATTGAAAAGGATCATCATATAGTTCCCTCGCTTGAAGAATCCCTGCCATTTTCTAGCTTGCAAGCTTTCATACCTTGTACGGGGTGACGGAGAACCACATGGGTGAAGAGAACCACATGGTCAAACCCTTTACAGCCTCGGGGGAGCTCCGTTCGTTAGTGTCTTGGCAACTAGGTCGAAGCATTGCATGACTTTTCCCAGCGTCTGTGATTTGTTGCTGAAAGGCCTGCAAGGGTCTATGCACATCAATGGATCCAGAATATGTACCCAGTTGACCAGGAATCCAAGTTGGCTTTTGTGGGGGCTGAAAGGGAGATCTCTACAAGGGGGAAGTTCGGGAAGTTTCAACGACTTCAACGGTGTTTCGGCGCCATTATTCTCTAAATTTGCGGATCATCTCGTCCATATTGTATTTTATGTCGCCTAATTGCGCTATAATTAATGTTATACTAGATATAGCGAATGATGCGATAGCAACATTGAATTAAAACGTCATAGAACACTCCAAGAAATGGCTCTACCCAGAGTAAAATACAACAAGCTCTTAAGAGCTTCTGTTCATCAACTCTACTCCAGTGGAGTATACCAAGGATGGAGTTACGGAGTACGCCGTAGGCTACAGACAATATCCAATCCTGCAGACTGAACTTTTGAAAATTTTAAACTATGAGATCCCCAACTCTCCGCCCCCACGGCTTTTAGGCTTGCCACATGCCCCCTCTGGTATATTTTTAGCCGATCACCGGCAAATATTCGCCCTCCTCCGGGATGTCCATTTTGGAGAAAAAAAAGCAATTATTCGCTCTTTTGTAGATATACGCCAATCCTACTCCATGGGAGGTAATCTATATTGTACAGAACATTGGGCTATCGAGATTGGTTCCACCCATGGGGTACATCCTCTAGGCTGTTAGTATGCTCTAGGGGGCGCGTGGTGGCTTCAAAAATACTGTACTGGTCAAGACACGCTCTACCCAGACGAATTTGCTTCAGCCACCATTCTGCGAGAGTTTCGGCGTCAGACAACAGTTCGCCGGTGCTTTCCCCGGAAGTACCTTTTACCGGCAATGAAAGGCAATGGAACCCTAAGCTATGCAGGGCACAATCACCAATGATGACATTCCCAATTTGTATCTTGCAAAGTACAAGGTTCATGATCTCCTCGTCACTTTGCCCATCACACGACATACTCTCGGGCAAATGCGCTGTAACCCAGCAATAATCTGGCATACCGTCGTGGGGATCTGCGATTCGGCCCCTGCCATTCATGAAAACACTGGCTTGGAGTCTAGAATCGGACGTCATTCTTTAAGTTAGTAGGGAAGTGCAATCCTTCGATCTTTTTTCCTTCTATTGGCCGATTGGTGGTGAAAAAAAAGCTCTCTGTGGATTATGAGAGAAACGTGAGGGAATTGAGGTCTTCTATACGTTGAATACCGAGGCGGTTTACTCCGTACAATGGCCTTTTCTAGCGACAAAGCACCATAGTGTCTTTCACAGCCTTATGGATCAAAGTCTTTGTACACCCAATTCTTACTGATTTATTGACAAAGGCCTCTCTTGTTCTTTGTTACTTTACAATGGATATGACACAGCTTTTTCTGAGGATCTACGGAGTACCTGCTTTCATTCTATTCATCCCATCAACCCGGGTGATCCACGTTTCATTAATCTCGATGGGAACACCACTATGATACTAGTCCAGATTCGTACATCGGTTACAGACTTTTCTATGCATTGTCGCCACTAAAGTCCCACAATATGATATCCACAGGGTCAATTGCAATTTTAATGTCAAGAAGAAAATCAACTAAGGTCATGTGTGCAGATTGAAGTGTACGGAGTACATAGGGCGGGATGTGATTATCTTCCGGTCTTGAATTCGGCACATATATTGTATGTATCCAGTAAGATGAACCGACGCTGATCGTCAAGATTACTGAGAATCTTCATGCATGTAGTTTGATCTGACCATAGACAAGCCGTTACTCTGAAACTTGGATAATCTAACGGTTTCAAAATAGAAAAGACCAATTGAAACAAGGTACATAACATTTTATGGGGATTGAACCATATACTCCTTTTGGCCATGATCGCCTTGGTGGAGTGCGATGCTATTGTGGAGTTGTGCCCTACAAACGGTAGCGGAGTTACTACGTTGTGGGACGCCCAAAGGATAATAGCAAGCCAGCATCTGCAAGTCGGCTAGCTCCATCTTTTCTGTCCCGCTACTTATTGGCCAAGATGGCCGGCCGAATGTCCTGTGAGTGGGGGCCAAAACAACTATTCTCGGGTAGACTACCGCGTAGCGTGTGAGGTCGATGTGCAAGCAGGGACACAGTGTCCCATCGAGGTGTAGGGGGTATCAAAAACAGCCCCCACGCAGGATATACATCTTGGAGAACATTTCCAGGTATTAGATGTAGGTCAATGCGCCACATGTCGAGGGTAAAGACTGGGGTAGAGGACAAAAAGAAATTCGGAGCCGAGGTTTACCCGCCGAGTCCACTACCGGCGTAAGTGTACGGAGTACATTGTATTTGGGTTAGTTAGATGGTTGAAGAAGTTCGATTTAATTAAGAGATAAAAAAAGACGTTAATAAGAGCGATATTAGGAGTCTACGGGTCCTTTGGAAGTGGGCTTTTTCCCACGGAGCACAGCGTGGCGCTCCCCCCTTTAGGATTGGCTCCTGTTGGCCATATATTTCCACTCAAGTGGAATACAATATTCCCTTTGCATTCTGGTATCTCTAGATAATAGAAGTCTAGCCTGCTTAGGCACATCCAGGACTAGGTATCTACAAAACAGAGATTGACCTGCCACGAGTTCCAATTTAAGCTAGACATACATCTACATATGTAGGTACGGAGTGACCACGTACGGAGTACTTAAGGGCAAGTGGTTCGCGCTCGTTAGCGGGTCAGTCAGTTGCAGTCTCTGGTCGCCAGGTACATGCGCTTGGTAGGGGTCCGATTAACCCACGAGGACGTTCTCAATCCAACGAAGCTGTCAGAGACGCGGCATTTCCCGCTGAAAGAAGATCATTTACTTCTTTAGTCACGACTGCCTAGCTCAGGCCTCTCATGGCTTTGACAACTTCTTTCATATACTAGGATAAGTTTCGCGCCCACTATTGGCCCGGTCCTTCAGGGCACTCTAACCTACAATGCATGCCACCGGCTGATCATTTGGCTCCTATACGTTACATCCGGGAGCTGTCCGGTCCTACTTTTACTTGAAACGTCTCGCCACATGGTGCCCAGATGGCTCTATCCCCCACTCAAGGATCTTCGATTGCTGACCACTAAAATCCTGTTGCATACCGGGGAAAAAAAACGATCTGAGATAAAACGGCCAACCCATTGCTAATCTTAAACTGTGTTCAAGATGACGTGATGCTCTATGCTAGATAGCACAGTTACCATTCTTGCCAATGCTTTCTAAATGTCACATAGATGTGTAACTATCATGCCTCGCTCGCCAATTTACTCCTAGGGGTATATCATTTTAAACAGTGGGAAGTCGATCACCTTTCCCCCTAGACTTGGCAGACCTGTGCTCACATTTACCTTGGAATGTTATCACATATTGAAGAGGGCCTGGTGAGATTCCAGTCATACACTTGGCCTGAGCACAAAGACAAAGGAAGCAATTGGACATGACCTAAACAATTCCCGGTCGAAAGCGTTTGACTGTCCCTTTTTTTTCGATTCCAATGGCTATTACTATCTGCTGAATACTTGCGCGTGGCTGCGGCCTATACTGTTGCATGTCTTTGACTTGATGTTTCTGTGAACATCTACATAACGTATCCCACCTGCGCTTCGATTTGCTACAGGGCTTTGGATGCAGCTAAACTTCAACATAAGTACCTCCTTACTTCTATGATCAAAATCAAGCTGTGAGTTTTCAATCTAGCACATGTGCAGAATAGACAATAATAAACATAACACATATTCGACCCATATGCATCTCATGAATGAAGGGATTATGTATAATGACACAATGGAAGGCTTAAAGAGTGATGGGGTACATAATGCAAGTTTATTGATATTCCAATGACCCTTGAGCTTTGGAACCGAAAGGCAATGAACAAATGCAGCATCAGTATTGCGTGTTTCTAGCCCCTATTCGGAGACGGAGAAGGTGAACGTTGTCAGATCTCGCTCTCTTGCCTATATCAGTACCGGAAAGTAGCCGTGCTGGAGTGACACTCATATTCTCTTTTCGGTCGAAGGCATCTTTGGTTGGATATATCAGTGACAGTATAGCAGCAAAGGCATTTGAACCGAATATCTGGCTCTCTCCAGGAACTATCCGTGGGAGTAGAGGTGAAGTGGGAGAAGTGAAGTACAGTGACACCTCATAAGTTTTAACAACACCAGCGCACCTCTTTATTACATAATATTCTGCCTGTCAAAATCGCCCCCCCCTAACAAGATTAACCATGTAGCTATTACGTCGCAACTATCATGCCGGAAACTTGCTTACCAACTTGAAGATTTAACCCCTATCTCAGAACAGATTTTCAAGCGGTGATACGGATGGTTTTAGCCCCTTGTACCATGACTTGGCTTGGTGAGCAATTAGGTAGGCGGTAGAGCCACGATGTAGGCGGTGTGATTGTGAGTCCCAGCGTGTTGTTACAACTTATGAGATGTCACGTAGAGTGACTGTCGCGTGTCCGGGATCTACTCACCGCCTTGACGGTCTTCACCGCCTTCGCGCTCAGTCCGCAACTCCGACAACGTCCAACCCAGACCTCAAGGCAGTGGAGATTGATTCAAGCTTGAATCAACATTCTGTATGTTCAAGGGAGCGTTTCGGATTGTTTGCTTCTCATAACCACCAAAGGAGAACCCTCAGGGAAGACATTGGACCAGACTCCGTCTATTCGATCGGCGGTGGGATCGCGCCGACCCTTCAACCCGTGAGAATTCAACAGTCAACACAAGACCGCCGAGAGCACTATCCCAGTCGCAGAAGTGGGATCGCGCAGACTTGGAAAAATCCCGAAGAGCCATCTGCAAGACCCTACACCCTCGATGCAATCCACATGATGTCTCCAACGGTCTCGGTGGAACTCATATCGGTTTAGTTTTGCCCGCGCGATCTTCATATTTGAACCTCGCAGGAGTCCACGCAAGTTTTTCTCCCTCAGAAATACGACGGGAATTAGTGCGAGGCTATTGCAACGGATCTGCGCACAATAAACATTTCCACTCCACTTGTGACAGCTATGGCGGAGATGGAGGCGGCCGCCGGCGCAAACAACTTGAACGGCTCCGCGGTCACGAAGTCCACGACCAACCCCTACGATACCAACCCTGATCGCATTCCCAGCGATGACCCGTTTCTTTCCCAGAGTGCGCAGTATGGCCGCTACACGCCCCGCGCCGATGATTTCACCCCTCGCTTCATGAACTGGTATCGGTCTGACCCGGCTGTGAATTCATTCTGGGAGAAGGTCGCGCAGCAATACTGTACCCCGGAACACTCACTCAATATCTCAGGGCCGAGGGAGGCATTTGCGGCTGGGAGCATAGTTATTCGGGTTGATCAGGAACTGGCCGATGGAGCGGCGGCTGAGAGATATTCATCTGCGAATGCGAATGAACTGTTAGCAGCGCGGAAGGCAGAGGGTCCACTCAGAGAGATTGGAGTTGCAGTGCCAGTGGTATATTTTTGTGGGACGATTGAGGGGAGGAATGTGACAATCGAGTCTCGCATTGCGGGCGTCTCGCTGGAAGTTGCGTGGAGGTATCTCGACACGGAACAGATCGAGGTTTTAAAAAACCAGTGTCGCCAGATCGTCCAACGGCTCGGAATAATCGATCCTCCCCCAGACGAACCGTCCTATTTATGCCGTGAACTCAATTCCCATACCCCGCCCTCCGTCGACCCTCGCGAACGAGATATTCTATTCACAGACAAAAGCAAGGAGGAACTACTATCTTTGACACACAACAACTTTATTCCGAGCAATGTCATTGTCCAGGATAATCGGGTGGTGGGGATTGCCGGCTGGCGACAATGCGGTTATTTTGGCACTGTCAGAGCAAAGAAGGTCCACCGACTCTTCAGGGATCTTGAACCTGCGCCTCAAAATGGCGTGGCCAGTTCTGAGAAGAGTGTGACTTGGACCGACCTCTACGATGGTGCCTACGACCCCAGTAAGGGAACCCCGCTCGTCGCAAACCAAGATACACCCCTGCCCTCAGTCAAAACTGAACCGACAAGCTCTACACTCGATAAATTCCCAGCCAGCGACGACTTAGACACAAATTCACTAGGTTTCGATGGCACGGGCGACTACGCGACGTCCAAAGCAGTGGCGAACCTCAAGCAGGGGCTGACATCAAGAGCGTCATCGTCCGACCGGTCATCCCCAGCAAATTCCGTCAAACCAGCAAACAAAAAGCCCACAACAACCACTGCCAAGAAGGGAATAGCAAAGAAACCTGCCGCTAAGAAGCGCAAGGTGAATGACCCGGATGCAGACAGCGTTGATGGGCGGCGTTCCAACACACCAGTTTCCCGGGCCAGCAAAACACCCGCCAAGAGGCAAAATTCTGCCTCGATAGCAGGGTCGCCAGCTCCCGAGGAGAAGAAAAAGCCACAGAAGAAAAAGAAAGCGCCCAAACAGGCCACTGCCCAGGAAAATGACGACTCCGACAGCTTCGATGAAAACGCCATCTTCTGTATCTGCCGCCGACCTGATAACCATACGTGGATGATCGGGTGCGACGGTGACTGTGATGACTGGTACCATGGGAAATGCGTCAATATCGATCCTCGGGATGCGGATCTGATCGAGCGGTATATCTGTAAGTGTCGATGAGCGACGGCTCTATCCTATTCAAAGCTAACTGGAAACACCAGGCCCGAATTGCGCAAGTGAAGGAAAGGGATGCACGACCTGGAAACCGATGTGCCGCCTGCTCGAGTGCCGGAAACCGGCGCGTGTCAAGACGAAGCCCCCGAGCAAATACTGCTGCGATGACCACGGCCGGGAATTCATGCGTCGACAGACTCAGCAGCTTAAACAACGTGCCGGTCAGACGAATGGTCTTTTTGAAGACCTCGGTAGCATGGGTGGCATTCTTACAGCTGGAGACCTGAAAGCTGCCATTATGGGAGTGGCATCTACACAAGAATTCCGGAAGCTCGGGGATCGCATCATCTCCCCGCCACCACAAGTAGACGAGAAAGGAACTGCCAAGGCTGGAGTCAAGGCCGAATCAAAGCCGCAGAGCGGCAGGTGGTTGGGAGTCGACGTCTACACCAACGGCATGAAATACTCGCCCGATGAGATTGCGAAGATTGAAAAGCTGCGCACACAGCGCGATGAGCTCATTCATCGCAAGGAGATGCTTGCTGCACGCACAATGTTCGTCTCGCTTCTCAAGCCTCGCGCGAAGGGCGTAGTAGAGAAACTGAAGCAGCACGAGCCGAAGGGCGGATGGAAAGATATTTGTGGCTTTGACTCGCGACTCTCGTGGTCCGATGAAGAATTCGATGAGTGGCGACTCTCCGAAGCTGGAAAGAAAGCTCTCGCGGAGGGAACAGCCGAAGCTTTGGCTGTGAGCTCCTCAGCCAGCACCGATGCAGACGGGGATACGGCGATGAACGGCGATGGTGATGACGATATTGCATTTTGGACGCGTGGCGTCTGCACTAAGAAACGGTGCGAGAGACACAAGCAGTGGGTCAAAGTACAGCAGCAGGATATTCTCTTTGAGGAGGAAACGGCAGAGCAGGACCTCGCCAAGTGCGAGGAGGAAGCTCGGTCTGTGGTGGAACGGGGTGTGATGAGACGATGGGTCGAGAAGGATAATCAGGCTTGAATGCCGAATGGATTTCTCTTGGGTCTCCCATGGCCAGCCGGATTCCGCAAAGCAAAAGCTTGATACCCCTTGATTGCGGAGAGCCGAAAAAGAAAACAAATCCTCATGGACTGGAGTTGGTATTTTGCAGACTTTAATATAGCAGGATGGTAGTGGCTGGGTTTTTTGGCGAATTGCATACAAAGCGGCGCTTTTCGAGGGGTGGATCTGCCATGTTTAAGACTATTTTTTTTGTAAGAGTATGGACAATTGCACCGAGATCGACCAAGGTCATCTTTTTCCGACAGCGGCATCATGGCAAATGGTATACCATTCATTGCTCGTTCCATATTCCCCATTTGCCTAGACTCGTACCAACTCGATCTTTGATCACTTCGACTATCTGAGCTCCTCTCAAATCAGAAAGCAACAGATGGATATCGATGCCTTGGTCTAACGTCTTCATAAGCAAGGTGGGGAACAGGGACGGAATATCCGAATGGAAGATGGAGTGGATGCCATCTTCCAGCGCCTGCCTCGTATCACCGTCTCCATGTGTAGTAGTGTTTCCAGATGGTTGGTTTTTATCCCAGTCTGGATTCATAGTCCCTAGTCCATTGGTATTGACAAGAATGATCGAGAGATGAGAGGCGTGCACGCGAGATAAACGCGTCAAGGTACGGAATGTAGCTGTCAGAACGGCTGCACCTCGAGCCGGGTTGGAGGCTCGAATTACTCCTTCGGTTAGGGTATCGAGGCCCACGACAATGAGGACAATGGGATTGTGGGTGGATGGGCTGGTATCGGCCGATTTCCTCTGTTTTTCTCTGTTTTCTTGGATCTCGTGCAGCGCTTCTGAGACCTTACCGATGGCCTGTGCGGCGTTGGTGAAGTTGTGTACGGGAAGTAACTGCACAGAGTCAAGTCTACGGATTGCGTCATCCCTTGATAGACCGGGCTGGTCATGGGAAGGAGACTGCAGCTCGTTGAGTAGAGTCCTTGGGACAAAAGCCTCAAAACTTCGTGGGTGGATAATGAATGCGCTCGGTTCAGATGATGGATGGATACTCCGCAGTTGGGTTGTGAGAATGTATCGAGGAATCTATGGTAATATTAATCTCATTCACAATGTACAGCAAGTGGTATTGAGTCAGTCACACCTGTCCGATGTACTCGTTGCTTTCGTTGCTTCTCATTCGCAGCCTGGAGAAGCCGAGGACAACCCCGCATCGAAAGACTGCTTCTTTGGAGGATTGGATACCCTGTTTCCAATCATTTTTGAGATTCCAGTCTTTTTTTGCGGTTGTCCCATTCGAAGGGGCAGCTGCATTTGTCTCATTTGAAGGAGCAGCTGCATTCTCCTTTGACTCTGGTTGTCGGAGTAGAGAATCAGCAAGGACTGGGAATGCAGGCTCCGCCGAGTACGCATTTGGTGCACTTGCCATCTCGGTATACAAAGCCTCGTCGAGTTGCTAGGATATGATATCAGGATATAAATAGAAGAAGCGAAAAGCGAGTGGTAGATGGTGGAGAAGCGGGGGGATATCCCGATTTGGTCTAGCCTCACCCATGAGCTGCCCTACTGGAACATTCAATCCGGAATATTATTTTAATATTGCTCTTGATCATGAAGTAAAAATTGCACATGTGATAAAAATAGATAGAGAACAAGATGCTAAAGATACATTTATGTGGGGGAAATGGTCAACTTCGCCTCCAAACTCCACGCCCATCATGCACCCAGCCCCTGTCCCCGATGACATCGTCCAAAATGGCTAGCAGATCCTGCCGCATGGGCTCAACATGCAGGTCGCCGCACCTGAACTCTTTCAAGCAGGGTAGATTATTCACAGTATACCCAACCAGAGAGTACGAGGTTGCGAGTTCCATCCACGGGTCATTAGGATCCATGGACCCCCGTTGTTCAAGCTCGGTAATATGGTTATCCTGAGGGGGGGCCAACTGTACATCAAGGCGCTGCAGACGACTCATCCTCACAACAGCATCCAGTACGATTTGTGAGTGATTGTAAAATGGAAACACGGCCGTGTAGGAAAAGTGTGTGAGGCCGCGTAAGAGAGCTGACAGGTCGATTGGGCGTTGAAGCGTACGGGTTGATCCGCGTATCCCACTTGTACCCCATTCCGCAAGAACTGATGGGACACAGGAAAGGAAGTACTCGTAGTGATTGTATGCCTTCAGAGAAGATGACTCGTTAAAAGTCATCGATGTCCAAGGTCGTGAGGCTAGAAGACTAGTACAAGTATCCAGGTCAGGCAGGTGGGATGGGCCACGAGGTTTGCACTCTCGTTCCAAAAGCAATATCTGCAGGGGCATGTCAAATGCCCAGTGGTGTCCATCATTGATCGGGGTAGCTAGAGTGTTGCCAATGAAGACTGGCGGCCCCATTACTAGAACGCGGCGAGGGTCTAGATACCGGAGGACTCGGCGCCACCAAAATGGGTCGACCTGACGATCTGGGTTTTCATCCGCGATTGTGACGAGAGATGTCACATATTGCCAGAGATCTGACTTGACCATAAAAGAGTGGAAGTCTGGTTCGTCATGGAGGTTGAGCCGGACATGAGTGAACAGTTGAGGTCGTACAAGTTGAAATAGACGCCGTGAGCACAGTTCAAGATGCTTGAGATCTTTCGTTGGGGACTGGGTGAGTTGCAGACTGGGAGCATGATGTAATTGTCCGAATGACGGTGGCTCTGTGGATAAGTAGGAGATAACCTGGTCTAGGAGCTCATTGGGGAGGAGCTCCAATGGAGACACTGGCGCAGACATGGCAAATTGCTCATGTCGAGGGCCTCACCCCACATTACTATGACAGTTGTATATCCAGTACTGCCCAATATGACAGTATACGTAGAGTACACTAGTAGACTAGATTGGAGTCGGCTGAGGGGATGAAAGTGAAGTGCCGGGCTTCCCCACTCCAATCGGGCCCCACTGAACCCTTTGTAATCGGTGACTCAACAGATGGTCTTTCCAATGGTTTTTGCAAAATGGGGGCTATTGTGGTGGGAGCTCTGTTGAAAGAGAGGCTGGAAGAAGGATTGGGGGATAGGATTACTTGCAAATAGATACAATTGAGGGACTACAGAGAACATCTGAATATATACAAGCGGGCAACCTCATGGTCCGTGCACTCTAATAGATTCGAGCAATTATTACAATGATACTAGATAGAATATTAGAATGATGTGGGACACAATTTCACTATTCCATTATCAGTGACCCCCCTATCGTCATATGTATTATCCTTACAACTCATCTCCATCTAGGTTCTTCGATATGTGACATATTCTGTTACATGAACAAGTACTTCTTGAAATGGTCCCACATGCAGTCTACTCCAAACAAAGAGATCAACATGGAAACTACAAATAAGAGGAAAGCTGCAGGCCAAGTCGAATCAGCCAACAATGTGGAGAGCCGCAGTGTTTTGTGGGGCATGCCTATCACGGCGGGATACATTGTAGAGCGCTTCGGATGAGATGGCAATGGCAATGCCATGCCCCTCTTTTGATTTATCAGTTTCCCAGATTTTCCTTCTTTCTTATCAGATTTATTTGTTCAGTGGGTCTGCAAGGTATACATACTGTCGCATGTCTAGAGGAACAACGCTCATTGTCTCTCGCAGTTAATCCACATACACCCCAATGACTCCTCGACTTCACCAGCGTCCCCCTTTCCGTGCAGAGCACTTGGGCTCTCTTTTGCGTCCAGACCAGCTTCTGGAAACTAAGTTCTCTTTCGAGGCTGGCAAGATCCCCAAGTCGCAACTGACCGCTCGTGAGGACAAGGAGATAAAGGCCATCGTTGAGACCCAGAAGAAGCTTGGTTATGCCGCTATTACTGACGGCGAGTACCGTCGTCACAGTAAGAGATCTGGAAGACCATTGCGTGAGTTGTGTTGACAAATATAGTGTTCTGGGGTACATTCTTTCCCGGTTTGGACGGCTTCGAAGAGATCACTAATGTCGATATGGATGACTTCCGTCCGTATGCCCCGGATATCGCCGCATTTTTGGATGCCGGTCACAAGGCCGGTGAGAGCGTTAAATGTACCGGCAAGATCAAGCATGTTGGTAGCACCTACGTCGACCAGTTCGAGTACCTTGCCAGCCAAGTCCCTGCCAATGAGGTCGGAAACCTGAAGATCACTCTTGCCGCGCCTAACTGGTACCACTTGCGCTACCGTGAGGGCAAGGCTTACCCCAAGTCTGTATACGCCAACGACGAGGACTACTTCGGCGACATCGCCAAGGCCTACCAAGCCGAGCTTCAGATCCTGTATAAAGCCGGCTGCCGTAATGTCCAATTCGACGACCCCAACCTGGCTTGTAAGATGTACCCATCCAGCGAATATCGATCGATTAAACTAACCTGTCACTCAGACTTCTGCTCTGATAAGTTCCTTACTGGGTTCAAGGAGGATCCTCTGAACGTGTACTCCGCCGATACCATGTTCGAGAAGTATATCAAGCTGTACAACGACTGCTTCGCGAACCTGCGGGCAGATATGCACGTCGGTGTACACCTATGCCGCGGTAACTTTGTCGGCAGTCGCCACTTCTCCGAGGGCGGCTACGACCGTATTGCAATCAAGCTCTTTCAGGAGCTGAACGTCCACAGCTATTACCTCGAGTACGACACCCCCCGCGCCGGTGGTTTCGAGCCCCTCAAGTTCCTACCCAACCATAAGAACGTCATTCTGGGTGTTGTCACTAGCAAGTCCGCCAAGCTGGAGGATAAGGAGGAGATGAAGAAGCGGGTCATTGATGCTGCTAGGTTCATCGCTGAGGGTAAAAACATCTCCCTCGGTGCTGCCCTTAACCAGGTCGGTGTTAGCCCACAGTGTGGTTTTGCTTCCCATCGTGAGGGTAACGCTATCGACTGGGATGGTATGATCAACAAACTGCAACTGGTCTATGATATTGCCAACGATATCTGGCCTAACCAGGCTTAAACTTGGCGTTCAGGCGTAAACAATAAAGTTCCTCTTCCAAGGTTCTGTCCTTTCTTAGCTTTCAAGTTCTGACCAAGAATGCCACAGGGCTTGGAATTTTGGCTTTGCACGGCGTCTTTTTACTAAATAACTATGTAGCTTGAACGAAGGTTATTATATCCGTTGGAATGAGCACTTGATGTCTTTATGTTGTGAATATAGTAAACGAGTTTCTTTTAGCCCAAATTCTTTCTCCCCTCTCATTGTAATGCAAGAAATCAACGACGGTCTCCCGTCTGCTTGCGTGAAACACGAGACGCAGCACTAGCCTTTTAGCTGTCTCAAACGGCCTGCATCAAGGACTTTGCCACCTGAAGCTTTTGAGGCATAACAATTTTCTCTTTAACCAGCCTATCAATAACACGCACAGTCCACCCCTGGCAATTCTCCGTAACAGACTTCCGATTCTCCGCTTGTGGGGGAGGCTCCTGCTCCGCAGCCCATTTCACCAGCTTGGCCGCCCTGGCCTGATCTTCAGACACAACAGCCAGGCAATAGATATTGGAAGTAAGGCCAGTATCAACAACATTGATCTTATCAGCCGACGGGTCGTATTTCATATTCTGTGCATCTCCCGTGACTTGGTAAACATAGCCGTATTCAGGCTCGTTCTCGTCGGCAAGGAAGAGTGCCCAATGGTTGGGTTCTCCCGGGGATTGTTCTTCTTGCACGAGATAGAGATAGAGATGGGGATTTTCGGCGGGTGGCTTCGACTCCTCCGGGTTAGAAGTGTCCTCCGTCCACTCCTGTTCACCCCTCTTCCTGAAGTATGTACGGCCTTCAACCTGGCACACTTCTCTGAAACCCCTTGTCGTGACGGCAGTCCCTGGCGGTGGAAAGTCGCTCATCGTCTGGGAGAATTGGACATCAGTACACTGATTCCCTATAAGTGTCAATGGTTCTACTGATACCTTCCGTAAAATCTGTTGTGAATGGTCAATTTAGGTAACTTGAATGAACTCGAGTTTTGTTTGTTAGCTAAAGTGGCGGAAATACACCTGGGCAGGCCTGCGTCAGATGACGAAACCAATCGAACGGATCAAATGTGCAGGGATCTGTCTTGGGCTCTTAATCGCATTTCTACGTCATTCAGGCACTGCTGTTGGATACATACGTATGACTATCCATGGATGTATCAAAGAAACCCATAGGCCTCAGTATACATGTGTAAACAACATGCTCTTCAGAATTTCCAATCATGATGCTACCTCTCTTGTACAGCGCAAAACCCCAATATTTCGGCGACGAGGTAATTTTAGAACAACTTATACCTGACTATTTGAATACTGGAATCTCTAGACAAAGCAATTCAGCTCAATTTAGTATACTAAGTCAAATATATATCTCCCACCGGAGTGCAAAGACGAACAGGTTACTCCGCCGGTCCCTCAATGTTGCCCTCCTTGATAGAGGAGGTCTTGTGGCTGTGTATATTCTCGACTTTATAGCGCGGCTCGTCGTCTAACGAGTTACGGCCCCCCATACAATCACGAACAATTCCAACGCTTTTGCTGGTCCTGGATGCGGGGCCTATTAGATTTTGTCAGATGGTTCTTTTTTTTCAATATGTATCTTATAAAAAAGGGTGCATCATACCATTGACCGGCGTGTAGCTGACTTTGTCTCCTTCTTTGTAGCGAAACATTGTTGATATTGGAGTAAATGGAGATAGTGGTAGCGGTAGTTGGAGTTGTGGAGTTGTGTAGTGGAATAAGTTGTGTAGTTGAATATCTTGAGTACCGCAGTCTTTCGTTGTTCGTAGATAGAAAGGGTCTCTTGCAAGAGTCAACCTTAAATTATCATTCTATTTATATTTGGCGATGATGGGGGAACAAATTCCGCTGTCGTCATATTGAGGTAGCGGGAGAAACAAGCTGGGTTGGAATCGATCCATGGTTATATGAATATCTGGCGGAGGTTGGCTCCGTGGAAACGATGAGATAGAATTTGAACAAGCACTTTAATCAGATGTATGTCATTTGTTTCTATTTTCTATAACCAATGCAAGAACTTGCCTGTCTCCCCTGTAGCCAATTATGTGCATAAGGAAGCGCACCCACAATTGACCGTGTACAAACACTAACAACGCTAAGAGAGCACGATGAAATTAGAGTATTAAATTGGACCCAACAAGCCCATATAAGAACAGAGGGGATATCATAGAAGTGAAGGTAAACAATGGAAAAAGCAACGAGATAACTAAGGCCAACAAAAGAAAAGACCAAGGAAATAAAAGCCCAAATGCTGCGTCGTCTTGTCATCAAAACACGGACATGAAGAGAAAAGAGAGAGACACTTGATAATGCGAGATGTTGTACAACGAAGCTGCTCAAGGAGCGCCTCTCGAAATCACAGCGGTGCATCTTATTTCTGGGGCTGGGTCTTGACATTGTTTGAGAGCCAGGCCTAGCGAGAGATACCGTGGTTAGATGGCAAATGTCCAAGTAGATAGATGGGAACGACTTACAAGACCCTCGAAAATACCTGTTCCATCTGTCGCAACACTGGGCGCAACGTACCACAGCTTGTCCTTGAGCTTAGTCAATTGAAGCTGCTGAGTAATTTCCTCTGGGCTCAAGTCTAGAAGTGGGTCAGTGGACAGATTTATCGAATTCAATTCCAGGAACAGGAGATACGCACGGCCAGGAATATCTTGCTTGTTGGCAAACACCAGAAGCAGAGCATCCTTCATTTCACGGTCGTTGATGATCTTGTGCAGCTCCGAGCGAGCCTCCTCCACACGGGCGGTATCGCTGGAGTCGACTACGAAGATCAATCCTTGTGTACCGGAGTAATAGTGTCTCCAGAGCGGTCGGATCTTATCCTGACCACCGACATCCCAGACGTTGAATTTGACGTTCTTGTAGGTCACGCTCTCGACGTTAAATCCGACGGTGGGAATGGTGGTCACGTCCTGGTTGCTGAGTTTAAGTTTGTAGAGAATTGCTGGAAGGAATGTTAGCCAATCTTGACCGAGCTCTAGAGTAAGGTCTCGGAATCATACTCGTCTTTCCAGCAGCATCCAAACCCAACATGAGGATACGCATTTCCTTGGTCCCGAAGATCTTTCCCATCATCTTAGATACTTGTCCACCCATTTTTGCGGGATTTGACGCGGTGTCGGATGTGTTCAGGAGCTGTTTGGCGGAATGTCAACAATTACGACCCGCGTAGGAATTGCGGGCTTGAGAGAGAATGAAAGACACTAGACGGTTTTCATACAAGGTCACTTCGATTGAAATGACACCTCCGCCAACGAATGGATAGGAAAAAGAGAAAAGAAGGTGTGTTGGTGCGTGATCTTCAATCCAATTTCCCTGAGGCGGGGGGACTTAGAAAAGGGGCTTGGGCTGAGCTTACTCATCCCCGGGCCACGAGGTACACGGGACAAGTTTCATCCTCGTGCTGGTTTCATATGTACCATCCTCGAACTTGTTTTATCCGTTGTTAGATTGATGCTACGGACAATAGGAGTCCATATGTCTACCAAAACACTTCTCCGATGTCACCGGATTGCAAGACTTAACCATGGTTGCCCAGGTGTGGCCTTTCCTGCTGAGTATCATCCTCCAAGGCACCGGAGGAACCATTATTCCGGTTGTATATAACGTAGCAGGTCACCTCTTGTATAAAAACTCCACTCAATGACATTTACATTCACACTTCTACTATATACACATACAACGTAGTCAGTGTATTGCTGACTTATTACATGAAGCAGAATCGTGAACAGTTTTGAAGCAACGTCCTTAAGAAGGTCATTAAGAACGAGTTCACTTGTTAAAATTGTCGTTACGTCATGACCAAATGAAGTCACTCCTGTGGTTATCGCACACAGCTGATAGCGGATAGCTCCTTCTTTGACTTCGGTTCTTGGATAGTTCCAATTGCTTGAAACTCCTAAGAATCATGCCCGGCGAGGAACACAGGTTCGAACGCCATACCTCAGTCACACAGCAGCGTCGACTGGCGCTACAGTACGAGCGCAATTCTTGGTTAGGGCCACCGGCAGATGTATGAACATCTCTGGAGTAGCAGTAAAAGCCGTTCTTGACAATACTAACAGGGATACTAGTCCATCTACGCCGGTATCTCCACCGACTTTCAAGATCACTTTACCCCAACTATAGCAATCGCAATCCGCGATGCTACATATTTACTAGACTTCATCGAGAAGCAGTTCACAAAACCGGCGTCCGCAGATGAGGCCACCGATTATGTCATTTCTGAGCTGCAGAAGTATTGCATGAACCATCTAGAGAAAATTGTTGGCATCTCAATGCCTGAACATGTTGCAAAGCACTGCCCTCGACTGTGCCCTCGCCTTTGGGCAGAGCTCGACATCGTTCCATTGGTCCTGTCGAACGTAACTCTAATAGATAGAGTCAGTGTTGAACAGACTAGCGAAAGCGGAGCCTCGAAAACTAGTGGATGGGATGAAAAGACCATCGATGAACAGGCTGAATCCATGGCACGAAAAGGTGTCAGGTTGGTTGTTCCCGTTCAATACCATAAAAGAGCCAATGCGTCTAATTGCACACAGATTATTTGGACCGGAAAATACGCCCCTGCTACAAGTGGGCTTCCTCGGGCTCGTGGAAGTGGACACAGCTTACCATGTGCGACTTGCGGACCTGAGTGATTTCCAGAAAACAGTCTCACGTAGAACTTGGTCTGCAGTGCAACGCTATGCCACTGATTTGAAGCGACGAAATGTCAAAGTGGCATTTTTCAGTGCCACACCTCAGGGCGGTGGTGTGGCTTTGATGCGGCATGCTCTCTTGCGATTTTCACATTGTCTAGGCACTGACATCAAATGGTGTGTCTATGCCTATATCTATGTCATTGCAAGAATTAACACTAACGCAATAGTTGCAGGTACGTCCCGAAGCCACGGCCTGGCGTCTTCAGGGTAACGAAAACGAACCACAATATCCTGCAAGGTGTCTCCCATCCGGATGAGCGCTTAAAGCCAGAGAACAAGAAACTCCTGCAAGAGTGGATTGAGGAGAATGCAAGGCGATATTGGACCCGACCAGGTGGGCCTCTACTTGCACCATCAGAGGGAGGTGCAGATGTCGTAATCGTGGACGATCCCCAGATGCCAGGCCTCATTCCCATCGCAAAGAGGCTGGGTCCAAATCGACCAATTATCTTTCGAAGCCACATCCAAATTCGAAGTGACCTAGTAGCGAACCCTGACTCCCCACAGGCGGAGGCCTGGGAATATCTATGGGGTAATATCAAATCTGCCGACTGTTTTATCAGCCACCCCGTGAGCGACTTTGTGCCACGGAATGTGCCCCCAGAAATAGTAGGCTATATGCCTGCAGCAACTGACTGGTAAGGGCTGGAAGTCTGATAATCTGCTTTCACCTTTCATCTCACTGACTGGGGCATAGGTTGGATGGACTGAACAAGTCTATGCGAGACTGGGACATCGCACATTATGGGCGCATCTTCAATTCAGGCTGTCGCAATGCGGATATGCCAACTATCCAATGGCCCGAGGGTCAGTAGCCGAACCAGGACCGGAGCCCTCAGTGGAACTAACAGAATATAGATTCATATATCGTCCAGATCGCACGGTTCGACCCATCAAAGGGCATCGTGGATGTTTTAGTTTCCTACGAGAAATTCTACAACAAACTAGTAGCCGAAGCGCCTAATATGGTCCCTCCCAAACTACTTATTTGCGGACAGGGATCAGTGGATGATCCCGACGGAGGGCACATCTACGACGAGATAATTGAGTACCTGGAAACGAAAGTCCCAGATATCCGCCACTTAATCTGCGCCATGCGGTTGCGGCCCTGCGACCAAGTCCTGAACGCCATTCTCTCCAAAGCGACTGTCTCACTGCAACTATCTACATCCGAAGGTTTCGAGGTGAAAGTCTCCGAAGCAATCCACAAAGGCAAACCAGTCATCGCCACGCGTGCCGGCGGCATCCCGCTACAGGTGGCGGACGGGAAGAACGGGTTCCTGATTGATGTTGGCGATACCGATGCTGCGGCGCAGCGCTTGTTTGAGCTCTGGACGGATCACGATCTATATGCCCGCATGTCGGAGTACGGCATCCATAACGTAAGTGATGAAGTGAGTACCGTGGGGAATTCTCTCGACTGGTTCTTTCTCGCTGCCAAGTTGTCGCGTGGCGAGCCTGTTCGGCCAAATGGACGTTGGATCGACGATATGGCGTTTGAAGAGATCGGTCTCCCTAACAAAGAGGACGAGCTGCGGCTCAAACGTGCAGTTAAGGTGGAGCAGATGGGCTAAGTGTACTTTGTGTTTGGCTCTCCTTCGATCATTAGCAGTATGTATATACAAAGAAAATCCGAACCGTCTGTCACAGGCGATACTTGTGCAAATCGATATCAAAAACACAATAAATGAAAAGTAGCAGGGGGTATCATAAAACCAGAAAAAGAAACCAGCGACAGAACCCACCAAGCATTCAAGGCCGCCCAACAACCCGATACCTCTCCCTAGCCATACCCCCCTCCGCCCCCTCAACACCATATCCCTCCCCGACTTCCCCGACAATCCTCGCCGGCCTCCCACCAACAATACACCAGCTCGGCACAACCATACCAGGCGGCACAACCGCGCCATCAAGCACATAAGCATAGTCCTTAATAATAGCCATACTGCCTACAGCAGCTCCCTTCCCAACATGGACATGGTTCCCCAGTGACGCAGCCTCAACAACAGCGCCCTCGCCGACGAAAACATGGTCGCCGATCTTGAGCGGGTAGAACGAGTGTATGCCGCGGTGTAGCCGGCTGGGGGGCCGCAGAATCGCGCTCTTGGATATGTAGCTGTATCGCCCAACTGTTATTGCAACGCTGGGCGTGCTGGGGTTCGGGGCTGCTGGCGCGGAAGCAGTGTTTGCATCGGTGGGGAGTGTTGTCGTGCGGAATAGGTCGCCACGGATTACGGCTTCGGCTTGGATTACCGTTTTGCCGCCCAGGATGATGTGTTGAGTGCCGTGGATTTGGGACCGTCGGGAAATTTTGTTACCTGTGTCCTGTTTTGGTGGTGGGTTAGGTTGGAGTTCTTTTGTTTTGGAGTTGGTTGGGAGATCTGGTGGTGGGAATTGAGAGGGTGTTGCTCACGGTCTCGATGTATTCGCCTTTTGCTGCCTTTGGCGGAGGCATTTTGAGGAGGACTAAGGGGGTTTCCTGTTGTGTGATGCCGCAATTGTTGAGTTGGAGTTGCAACAAATATAGCTCGACCCTGGGATAGTAGATGCGGCAGTATAGTTCCAAGGCGGTATAGGTAAACAACTATGAGGATTCAGATATACCGTTCCAATTGCAATGATCTTTATAAAGTTGACTGAACTTTTTGAAATGATTTCTTATGCTTTCTCTAGTCTACTAAGTTGCTTGTGCTCGAGGGAAAAAAATGAAAGTGCACTATTCGTGTAATAATGTTGACGGTAACACTGCCGCTTCGGGTTGCGATCGGCTCCCGGATCCCAGGGAGAGTCAGTCACCCTGAGACATACAGTGACGGTGCATAAGTTTGAGCACCCCCTATTCTGCCTGCCCTAGTCCCACCAATCTAAGACCTAAAATTATGGTCGGTATGACTATTTAAGACTATTTAAGTAGGCGGTGTAACTTTGTAGTAATAGAACATTTAGTGCGAGAGGCTACAACTATACAACCACGGCCAATTATCACGCGTAGGAAGTGGACACCCGAAGATAAGCGTCGACTCTTAAGGTGAGAGACTCTTAAAAGCTGTCATAGAGTAGTATTCGCGATTCATTCCCCGAAAGGACTCTAAGTGCACTTAAGAGCCGATACTCTCGGGAATCTTCTAAGTAGTGTGAACCTCTTTCGAGTAAAAGGAACCACTCGGTTAGCGCTAGTCGGCAGTCAAAGCACATATCAAACATTCGAAGAAGCCCGAGGCTGGGCCGATCTCACTAGGTCAAAAATATAAGGAGCGACGCCGAGCATCACCGAAGGTACTCCTCGCGTTTAAGGAAGCGTCGCGGTGATTCAACTGTATTAAGGCCGGATTCTATTGATCCCCGACTCCGTAACTTCGGTAACGCCTAAATCCGTCTCACTATATTTTTTCACGGCGGTAAGACTGGTATATGGTCTTGAGGTGGCAATCTTTCTGCTGCGACTGCGAATGGCGGGCAGTGCTACAATGTTATTTGGGCGGGGGGTTGTGTATTTCTGCGAAGTTCTTTATGTAGATACCGGGCTATATTCAGCGAGCTGAGAGCCCCTTGCGTCGATTATAAGATATGATTTTTTGGTGAAGTAGAAGTCCTGAAAAGTCCTACTAGAGCTTACGTAGAAATTTAGAATTCTTTTCAATATGACAGCAAATGTAGGTAATCTTCTAGTTTTCAAAAGATGGTGCTAGAGACTTATACAGGCGATTGACTACAAAATTCTGCAGCAAACGAAATGCATCTGCCTCGAAAGATGACCATCGAGGCGTGTACCCCTCACGTGCTTTTACGCATAGCCATACTCCTCCCTATATACCGCACGTAGAGGCCTAGCGAATCAATCTCATCCCTGAAAATAAGCAAACGCCTTCTCCATTTGCCGATGAAGTAGGTGAACATGTCCTGGCATGGGCAGATCAAGATGATCTCCATTCACCGACAGTGCCAAAACCTCTCCAGCAGTATACTTCTCCCAGCCATTGGGCCCGAGGTCCGCCTCCTCCCTGTCCGGCACAAGACAGGCAAACGCACCCAACTGCGGGTCCTCCATATAGCCCGGATACGACGTCGTCGGGATACCCTGGTCCGCCAGCATCTGCATCAACTTCTCGTTACCAACGACCCGATTAACCATCCCCTTCTCGGCCCAGATAACGGCCGTGTGAGCGGGACGTTCCTGTTCCGTCATGTAGGGCGGGTGATATGCGTGCATGGCGACATGGTACGCGCGGAAATGGTTCTGGGTGGTGCTTCCCACGCTCCAGAGGCCATCTTTGGATACGGCGTTTTCGAAGATGGCGAAGCTGGCATCGTCTTCGGAGTCCATCTTTTCCTCGTCGAGGAGACTCGAGCGCGGACAGCACATGTCGATCAGCACGAGACCGGATACCTGTCGGCCCAGTCTGCCGAGCTGGCGACTGACTTCGAAGGCGACCATCGAGCCGGCGGAGAAGCCGCCGATCATCATGGGGCCCTTGGGCTGGGCGGCCACGAGGGCTTCAACGATGAGCTTTGCGACACCCTCGATGCCGACTTCCTTGGTTAGGCGGGTTGGACAGCGCAGGAAGGGCGAGTCGATGCCGTAGATGGGCATTTTAGACTTGAAGGCTGGGAGGTGGATGTAGGTTGCGATTGTGCCGGTGCCGTCGGCCATCATATAGAGGGGAGTCCGCTTCGGTCCGGGACGGCCTTGTAGTAGGGTTATTCTGACACTGGGTGCGGGGGATGTGTCTGTGTCGATGACCTTGTTGATGAGTGGCTTCCCCTGTTGCTTAGTGTTGTTGTCCTGACGTTCTGGAGGGGGTGTTATTAGATCATCCTTTTCGATATCGACCGCACTGGAGCCCAGGGAGGAGGCTGTCTCGGACATGGAGATTGATTCGGGACTGGGGCTTGATGGGATAGAGGCCTGAGAACTGGAGGGAGTTAAGATGGCCTTGGACTTTGGGGCCTTTGGTTTATCTGCTCCACCAAAGGCGCGGCGGAGGTCGCCAATCGTGGGATGGTCGAGAACGAATGTCGCGGGGAGATCGAGACCAGATTCTTCCTTGACGGCGGCGACAACCTCAATTGCCATGATGGAATCGACTCCAAGGTCGGCTACCATAGTGTCATCGGTGAACTCGGAAGAGTCGCTGCCCGTAGCCTTGGAGATGCTGTCCAAGATAGCATCAATCAACCCTTCATCTTGGGGGTACTCGTCCTCGTCGTCGTCGTCGTCGTCGTCGTCGTCCTCCTGGGCCTCAGTTGCTTGTGGCTGCACTTTCTCAATGTCCAAAGTCTGTGGACTGACCTCGACAGTCTTGTTGGTTTCTTTCACAGGTGCTCTGTGGGTGGGCGCCGAAGAAGTCCCATGCGACTTCTCGAGAACATGCTTCCAGGTGACTCTGGGGAGCTCCTGGTATCGCAGGTCGGTGCATTGGAGGATAATTTTCGACGTCTCCGGATCAAAGACCACCGCGTCACAGTATGCCGTGTCCTTGACCCATTTAGAAATGCGAGTGTAGACTAGGTACTGCTTCCCAGGCACTAACGGGACCGTGAGCTCCACGCTTTCAAATCCCATCACAATAAATGTTTTCTGGGGCGATTTACTCGGGTTTCCATTCACCATGAAGCCAGCCAGGTGCACCAAAGCCTCGCCCCAATATGGCGAGAAGGTGAATCGAGTACCAGCAGGATCGTGCGGGAGCGTAACCACTGCTGCGGCCTCCTGGAAGTCTTTGGCGATGTAGGCCTCGTCAACGCCCTGGAAATCCGTGCTAAACTCGACGGAATTGCCGAATAGAGCATAGAAGACTTCCGGTTGCATCCTATGTCCGGGACCCTCTTTGGCATTCTTGATCACCTCGTCCATCCTGGCTTGGATGAAGTACGATACTCGGTCCCAGTCTGCCTGGGTCTTAGCCGGGTCACGGAAATTGACGATGGAAGAACCGAGCTCATGCGATGTGCCTCCTGATGTAAGCTTGAATGTAACCGAGACCCTGTCTGCAGACGGAGAATCCATCACAGCGGTGGTGATCAGACTTCCATCAGCGCCAGCGAGCTTCTTTGTCAGGGGCAAGAGCAGCTCGGGTCTATGAAGTGTGAGCCAGGACTGGTCCACGTTCTTTCTGCCACTGTGCTCGAGGGCATACTTGGCCGCTGCAAAAGCGGCCTCGCAGAAGACGCTTCCCGAACAGAGCCCGATTCCTTGCATTTTGTGACCGTCGATGAGTCCCATAAATCCGGGATCAGAAATGGAGGCCCGGAAAACCACCTGGGTCTTCGGGGAGGACGACTTAGAGACAAGATACTGTGCGCAAGTCGAGACAAACGGCCCAGATTCCGTGACCGAAGATTGTTCCGGCACAACCTCGGTGACTCTGTCGGTATGAGTGATCCAGTAGTCCTTTACATCCCACGCATAGGAAGGGAGCGTCAACAATTGAAGATTGCTCTCGTATGGAGCATGTAGTGCAATCCAATCGATATCGACACCGTTGGCGTAAGCCGCCGCAAGAGATTTGGAGATGGACGTCCAATTGCTGATGTTTGGCTGTAGAGTATGCGTGATCTTGGAAGGCGGAGGTGCGAGGGTATCGCGCACAAGAGATACGCAAACCGGAGATGGTCCAATTTCAAGCCAGACTGGGTCACTCAGTTTGGAGTTTACGGCGTTGAGTCCACCGACAAAGTTGACCGGTTGGCGTGTCTGTTGGACCAGGTAGTCCTGGTCGAAGACACCCGGTTCATCGACAACAGATCCGAGCAGAGTTGATGCCACAGGGATCTTCGGCGCGGAATACGTGACGCCTGCTGCAATAGAGCTGTAGTCTTGTAGGATTGGATCCATCTGGAACGAGTGGAATGCGAATGGGATGGACAATGTCTTCGCGCGAACCTTGGCGTCCTGCGCCGTGATGTTTTCCTGGAATTGTGCCAAATCCTCAGCTGTCCCACTGACAACAGTAGCACTCGGGCTGTTGATGCAGGCCACACCACAAGAAGAGGACTGGACTTGGGATAGGTGGTCCCGCACATTTTCTACTGACGTTGACACCGCAAGCATGGAACAAGACCCGGATTCACATCGCTCCTGGAGGATCAAGGCACGATGTCCAACCAAATACAACGCATCTGCCAGCGACAGGACTCCAGCAGCATGCAGGGCAGCGTACTCACCCAGACTGTGGCCCATGACCAGCGCAGGCTCAATTCCTGCGGATCGCCAAAAGTGGGTGAGGGCTATCTCCAAGGTGAGGACAGCGAGTTGCACTTGCGCCGCAGACTTGGTAGACACATCGATTCCCTCCTCGGTGATGATGTCCAAGTATGGGGGGAAGCTGTTGCCGGCGCAGATTGCCACGCACAAATCGACTCTCTCGCGGAAAACAGAATTCGTGCAGTATAGCTCGGCACCCATGCCTGCGTAGTGAGAACCTTGTCCAGTGAAGACGAAGACGACGGGGACATGCCGCGAAGCAGAGGGGTTGCTACTGCGTTCAACCTCAGACTCGAGCTTTGAAATGGCCTCTTGTGTTGTGGATGCAGTCAGCGCGAATCTGATGGGATGGTGCATCCTTCTTGCCGTAGTTGTGTAGGCAAGGTCCTCAATGCGAGTATTGGGATTTGATCGAAGCCACTTGAGTAGTCGTTGTTTGTTGAGGAGGTGCGAAGATGGTGTTCTTGCAGAGGTCACAATGGTGTGGGCCGACCTCACATCTGCGCCTCTCTCGCTCGTATGCGTGTACTCCTCCAGGAGTAGGCATGCGTTGCCGCCCTGGAGTTTTATAGGGTCAGTACAGCAACATTGCGGGAGCAGTAATAGAACAACTTACCGCGGCATCGAAATTGTTGAGGAGAATACGTCTGGGCTTGTCGCCGGAAGCCTTGAACTCCATTGGCTCCGAAGGAATCTTTATGTTAATCTCATGTAGGGGTGGAAAATTGGGGTTGAGGGTATGAGGCATCCCGGCCTGTGGTGGTATGGTTCCCTTTTGAAACATGAGGATGCTCTTGAGCAGGGAAGACATTCCTGCAGCCTTTAATTAGATTAGAAGGTTAGCGCATCTGCAAATATCGGGAAAGCGTCCTGGATTGGTTACTCACTGCTTCACTGTGGCCGATATTTGCCTTGATAGCTCCCACCGGCAGAAGTTCTCCATCACGCCGTTTCGAAAAGACACTCGAAACCGCGCCCATTTCGGCTTTATCGCCAACCTGGGTACCCGTACCATGCATCTCAACATAGGAGATATCCTCGGGGGTCACCCGTGCATTTCGAAGGACCTTATGGAACAATCGTTCTTGGGCGGCAGCATCAGATGTAGTGATGGATGTAGAATTGCCCGAATGGTTTCTGGCCGAGGATGAGATGACCGCCAGGATATTGTCGTTGTGAGCAATGGCATCGTCAAGTCGTTTCAGCACCACTGCACCACTGAAGTCGGCGCGACAGTACCCATCGGCGTCATCGCGATACGTCTTGCAGTTCCCAGAGTCGGACAAGACGCCCGATCGACTCAAACTGGTGAATGAATGCGGGGTGGACAGCACGTTGGCCGCTCCTGAGACGGCCATATCGATATCTCTAGTCATCAGACTCATGCAGGCAAGATGGATGCAGGAACTGGTCGCTGCACACGCAGAATCGAGGGCATAAGTCGGCCCCTCCCAGTTGAACTGGAAGGCCAGTCGACCCGGTCCGAATGCACGTTGTACTGCCTGTAAGGTGTAGGCATCACATCCCAATGTTCGATGACCAACGACATGCCAATCATCATTACATTGACCGAAGAAGGTCGCGATCTTGGTCGGATCCGTCGATTTGGTTTGGCCATCGGAATACCCGGCCATTTCGAGGGCCTCATAAGCGTTCATAAGGAACAATCGATGAGCGGGGTCCATTAACAAAGCTTCTCGGGGTGAGATGTGGAAGAATTTCGAATCGAAGTGTCCGGGGTTATTCATAAAGCAGCCGTGCTTGCAGGTCATGGTGCATTTTCCTGGACCGGCCGGGGGATGCTTGGGGCTGTAGTATTCATCCAAGTCATAGCGATCGGAGGGGACCTCTTGATGGAGATCAAGCCCTTTCAAGATCACCTCCCAGAATTCGTCGAGGTCATCGCTGCCGGGTCCTTTTCCTGCCATGCCGATGATGGCGATCCCGTCTCGACTCTCTGGGGTCGGCGCTTTGGTGGATATATCATCATGAAGAGAAACTTCCCTTCCGGCAGTTTGTAGAACCTTGACAATATATGCGGCGTGGCTGCTGGGACCCATGATCTTGAAATCAACATGCTGTGATGTCCCCAGATTGGCGTTGAGCTTGCTGACAGCTTGGACAATGCTCAAAGGCCGTGCCAAAGTCTGTGATGCAGAAGCCCTCAACAGATGGCCCCAGCTGGAGTAAGTAGCCTCAGGATGACCCTCATCCAGGCCGTATATCCTATACCCCCGGGGTAAAGGTGTATTTAGAAGTGGGGAACTCCCGACAATATAGTCAATATCGGCCTCGGAGATGTCTAGGGTGTGCTGAAGAGCATGGATATTGAGCTCGTTCTTTGGAAGTTTCTTCAGTCTAGGGCATTCGTTCAAGACGAGCTCCAAGATAGAAGGCGGTCCGATGACGGTGCTCCATTTGTCTCCAGTGACACCAACCCTGGCTCTTTTGGCAGACGGAACTCCCTGTTTGGTCTTCAAGTTAGTCTTCGAACGCGGACTAGAAAAGCCTGGAATATAGGAAAGAAAGATCTTACCATTGAATTTTGGAACTGCTCCAGGGTTTTACCTAGCTCTTCAGCCTGGATTCCAAGGACAGCCCAACCCCAGGTTCCAGGGCGCTCCTCCATGGCTCTTGATTTCACCAAAGTGAAGTTGCAGAGTCTTGCCCACACCCGACCCGCCTCGAGACATGTGTCATAAAGTGTCGTGAAATTCGTCGCGATTGAGACGACTGCAGCACTGAATAGACCTCCGGATACACCCATCAACTCCAGTCTGGGCCGGCTCGGGTCTAGTAATTGTGGTTCGCCGCTGATGGTCCTTGAAGTAGTCAGCAATGCATCGTTACAATAGAGCAAAACACATACTCTAGTAAAACCACGGCTCTGATGGCATAAATCAGCATGGCATGCGCCATCCCAAAATCGTCGCCGGTACGTCGATATCGTTCAGCGAGCTCTTGGAAACTGGAGCAATCCCTAAAACTGTCTTGCAATGTTCGGTCCATGGTCCTAATCTCTGCCTTCAGGCCCGAGAAGAGGTCACCCAGGAAGGACCGAAGCCATGGTCTGGTTGCGGCTTGACTGTAGACATAATCGATGCCGTCAACCCATGGGTCTGTGACGTCTCCGAAAAGGAGAACTGTAGGATGGTTGGAGTCCATTCCTCGAAATAATAAAGACTGGCAATGGAAGAATCTAATGTCTAAGTAGAATGACAATATGATATTGAATCTACTGAGCGATTTGGGAATTCCGGGGAATAATCTCCCAATTATTTATACCCATGGAACCGGCATAAAAAGTCCGACGAACGTGCAGGTGCAAATGGACATCGCAGCGTGTGGGAGAAGGGAATAGTGGTCTTCTGCGGAGCCTCCCGCCTGATTCAACCGGTATAATCATCCATGGACGCGACAATACGATATTATTCTCATACATCCGTACCAGGATGGTGTGGGGCGTTGCTGCTGCCGAAGATATATCGCGACATCTGTTGGACAAAACGTTCGCGCCGCCACAATCCTCGTAAGCCCTAACTACTGCAACGCTAGCCAAGAGACGTGAGCCGTCGCCCTCGTATTCTCCGGCCGACCTCCCTCTCCAACAGATGCTAACTCAACTCGATTTTCCCGTTCAGGAATACCGAGGCAATTTTGATTCAGATACGACTTCTCCGTACGGCGGAGAGCGTTTCCCGGTCGAATTCGACCGCATACCATGGGGCCCGTCCTCGGGCTGGCTCTCACTGCCTGCTGAAGAATTCGAGCCCCTCTGAAGAATACCGAACGTCATTGGGGCCCGAGCGCTGACTCTTAATTCCTGCTGAAGGATTCTTCAGACGGGTCCGGATCCATCAGCAAGCACTGATGAGAAATGGTGTGACCTCGTCTGTAACGCCGGGTAGCCTTATCAATTCCCATGAGCGACGCGCACGCCGACTGACATCCCCGAAAATACATACAAAGCTACCCCCGAAGTAAATTTTCAGCCCCTCTTCACATCTAGAACAGCTTCAGACTTCAGTCACAATCGGAAGTGGGCCGGATAATGGGGAGATAACCTTAGGCTAGGCGGGTCTCTCCGAATTCTCCGCCCGCCAGGCAAATTTAACCTGTAGCGGAGCGGGGCATACTCCATCGTATATATGGAAGTGTATTGAAGAATCCGAGTCTATTTCGAGACTACCGCCTTCCATAAATGATAACCGACCGCTTTTTCAACCAATCAGTAAGGTCATCTACGATATAAATTTCCGAGGCTGAAAAGTTACTCTGTAGTAAATACGAAAATTTGCAACCATCTATCTCTTAGTTTCGCATAATGGATCCATAAGTGGGAGAGATTAATAAAATTTACTCTATACGGAGTCCAGTGCCAAGAGTACTTTTTTTCGTTTTTTATTGTCCTCTGCTTACGGTGACAAACACACCTACAGCGGTTGCGCTATCTGTGGATGGGATGACTAAGGCCAGAGTAAACTCAAAGATATCCCCCTCTTTCACTAGGCACCTATTAACTTTTAGCTGGTCCCGCTCAGCTGGAACCAACCTGTCTTTGACTCACGCAACGCCATGTAGTTAGTCTTATCCTTTCCCATCGCTTCCCCACGACGTTTCACATTCTCATCTCCATGTCCGTGTTCTCATCTACCATGTCTGTTCCGCATGTTGCACCGTCGCATGACGCCTATGGGCAAGCCAAACGGAGAAAGGTGCGCAAAGGTACCCACAGTTGCTGGGAATGCAAGCGTCGGAAGATGAAATGTAGATTCGATCCGCGCATTGCGAGTACCTCCTGCAATGGCTGTCGACGACGTGGCTCTCCCTGTATTAGCCAGGAATTCCCCGAGGATCTCGAAGATGTCCTCATGAGCATTGGAACCACCAGTAGTGATGGCACTTCCTTTGATGGCAGAACTCGCCCTGCCACACCCTGTGAGAGGACAGACCGTATTCTCACGCCTGTGTCAACGATAATGGAGCCTTCACAATACTACAAATCTCCTGAGGTCCGTCTCTTCCAGCTTTTCCTCCCTCCCCAGTATTCTATGATTGTGGCTGACGGCTTTCCAGCAATATCCCCGGACCACCAGGAATGATACCTCACAATTTAAATATGAGAGGCTGTCTCGGTTTCTACATGAATTACTCCCGTCGCGCGCAGATACCGAAAGCATCTGCAAAGCCAGTCGCCACTCTTCCATCCTCTCCCACGAATTATTAACGACTCCATACACCACCCTCTATCAGAACGGCCTCCAAACGCCCGAGAGTTTACTGATGACCCCGCAACCAAATATGCATCCTGTTTTGATCGCAAGACACATGCTCCAGCTCGCCCTTTTCCTACAGCATCTTCCCCCAGATCTTCACAAGGAGATTGAAGGCCTGTCGGAACCACCCCGCGTCATCATGGAACGCTTAGCAGATCTTGCCATCTACCACGTCACGACAAACGAGTCATTGATCGGCAGCATCGAGAGCCTCGAGTGCATTATGCTCGAGAGCTTATACCAGGTGAATATTGGGAACCTTCGACGAAGCTGGGTCGCGGGTCGCAGAGCAATGAGTCTCGCCCAGTTGATGGGCTTTCATCGACCAGATAACCAGACCCTATACAAAGCGCTCGACCCCCAAACGAAATACGACTCACGGATAATGTGGCTCCGCATCATGACCCTCGACCGCCAGCTTTGCCTCCTGCTCGGTCTGCCCGAAGGCTGCACCGACCATAGTATGGCTTCGGAGACCCACATCGCCAACGATTGCCCTATGGGCCGTCTCGAGCAGCTGCACTGTGTTGCCATGTCCCGAATCCTCGAACGGAACGCGTCCAAGCCAAGCGGCCAAGACCTCGCCGCCACCCGCGCCATCGACCTGGACCTACAGAAAGCCGCGAGTAGCCTACCAAGCAAGTGGTGGCTGGCCCCCAAACTCGACAATGCCTCCAACGACCTGCAAGCCGTGTTCTGGGATACGCGCCGTCTCGTCCTGCAGATCTGTCACTACAACCTTCTCAACCAGCTGCATCTACCGTATATGCTGCGCCCCTCGTCCGCAGAGAACAAATACGAGTATTCGCGGATCACATGCGTCAATGCGTCGCGGGAGGTTCTCTCGCGCTACAACTCGCTCCGCAGCTTCAATCGCATCGCTTACAGCTGTCGCACGGTCGACTTCCTTGCCCTCATGGCGGCCATGGCCCTCCTACTCGCACACATGGATAGCCATAGCGACGGGGCGGAAAATCTGCTCGCGAACCAGTATTTAAGCGATCGCGGGACGATCGAACAGGTGCAGGAACACATGAGCGAGATCAACCGGCTGAATTCAGACGAACTAAGTGCACAAAGTGCAGATTTGCTGAAGTCATTGTTGGCGATTGACCTGGAGAAAGGGCATGGGCGGGTGAGTGTGCGGGAGGCGGGCAGTGAGGGTATGTTACCGCATGATGGGATGGTCTCGGAGGAGGAGAGCGTGGTGCGGGTGCATATACCGTATTTCGGAGTTATCCGGATTGCACGCGAGAAACAGCAAGCTGCGACGACGGGACCAAGCAGCAGTAGCAACTCCGAAGCCCAACTCCGCCTCTCCTCCTTGAGACACCCCACCGATCCTCTCTCCACTGGCCCGCTCTCCAGTGGACCACTCTCCACTAGTTCTATCTCCACCAACAACACTCCCAACCCACTCTTCTTCCCCGTTGCCTATACAGCTGCTCCCCATGAATTTTCCGCCCCTTTCGCGCACCAACAGCAGCAACCATGTCAGACCACGTTCTCAGACCCTGGTCTTTCTCTAACGCCATCTCCGCTAATGCAGGGCGGACATCCTGGACTCGCCGCCGGCGGCGAGGACTGGGCGTTTCAGGGTGTCGATATGGCGTTCTTCGAGAGTATAATGAGGAATGTTGGGGGCGATGTTTGACCTTTGCCTACGTTTGTGGCGGCCTGGATGCACCAAGCCACCAATCAAAAACCACCAAACAATCTAGTATATTAAACAAACTATGTAATAAGATATCCGAAATCTGATATTTCACTTTGGAAATGAACATGTTGGTTTTTTCCCCTACCCCGCCAAAGCTGACTCGCCTGTACGGTAGTCTGCCATCTGGCATATAAGGTAGCAGCACTCGCAGCGCTAACCTACTAGTGGCCAATCCTAAGATTGATTCTCCTTCTCCCCATCGGCAGTCTCCGTCTTCTTCTCCTTCTCCCCATCGGCAGTCTCCGTCTTCTTCTCCCTCTCCACCGCAGCCTCCTCTGTCGCTGGCTTGTCCTTCTTCCCATGATCCGGCAGCCTCTTAAATGGAATAATTAGCGACAGGAGGACCGCAAACGCCGCACACGCCAACGAAAACGTAAACACATCCTTGATACCGACCATATACGCGTTAATGACCTCCTTGAGATCATCCCCGCTGAACACGTCCTGGAGTTCCGAGGCGCCAGCGCCCAGAACCCGGGCGGGATCAAGGTGAGCTGCACTGGAGAGGACAGTCTGGAGCATCCGGTTGGCGAAGAGGGATTGTGCGATGGCGACGAAGTAGGCGCCGCTGAGGGTTTGGCACACTGGTTGGTTGGGTCCGGTGTCAGTGTCCCATACATACATAACGTGCATACATGAGTAGCTACCTAAGTAGGTACTCGGATGCGCAATACTCAATACTTGTATTGCGTAGGGAGGGGGAGGAAATACTTACTAACCATGATTCCAGTCGCGCTGGAAACGTCTTCAAGCTTCGAGGAGCCTTGCACGGCTGTCATGGGGATCTGGTTGCAGATCCCAACGCCAAATCCAAAGAGCACCTCGGCACCAATGTACATGGCTTTAGAGGAGTCGACGTCCAAGACATAAATTAGAGCCATGCCGGCGGTCATGATGAGGGCGCCGAGGAGCTCGTAGGGTTGTGTGTAGCGGGTCTTTGTGATGACGCCGCCGCTGACGACGGCTCCAAGGGCGAAGAAGGCGAGGAACGGGAGGGTGTTGACGCCGCTTGTCACGGCTGATTGGCCATGGATGGATTGGAAGTAGATGGGAAGGTAGAACATGACTTGGTAGAGGGCGGCGTACGAGCTAGAATGAGGAGAGGACCGGTGGGTTAGTTCATGAAGATGGATAGATGTATAGTGAGGACTTACATCAGGCAGAATAAGGCA